CCCCAAAACCCCAAAACCCCAAAACCCCAAAACCCCTATTTCGATAAGAAATACTGAATTTAAGCAGAAAATTTAATAATAATTATGCCCAGAAATATTTCGAAATCAGAAAAATATATTTGGATATATCAAGCAATTGATGGTGCAAGGAGAGGGATGGGGTCGTTCAGAGGGTAAATCAAGCCTGGCGGTTTTGATGGAGGGGACGTTGTAAGGCAAGTGGTGGAGAGAATATGTAATAATAGGGTTTTCCTAGAGATCAACAGAATCCTGGTCAGTATATTATAGAAATTAAAAGGAATATAAGCAAAAATTTTTAATAAAATTTACAATAAAAAGAAATGCTCAAAATTATCATTTTGATAGTGGCACTTTCGCTCTATTCAGCACATGCCCTCAAGTTTAGACAACCTTCAGATACACCTCCAATGACAGGTGGCCCTGGTTCAAACACAACCACATTTGACCCATCAGCAGCCCCACAAGATCCTTCCTCCACAGGACCCGCTCCTTCCTCAACAGGGCCCGCTCCTTCCTCCACAGGACCCGATCCTTCCTCCAATTACACAGACTCAAGCTCGGGACCTCCTATGGATTGTGACCCAACCACTGATCCTAATTGCACTTCAACTCAGTAAGTCGTGCTGCTAAATTTGCCTCTAACTTCGCTCTAGGGTTTGCCAAGATTCTGAATATGAATACGATAATGGAAACGGAATGTGCTATGCTTTCAGTAAGTACACACTTTTAGACTTGAAGTTAATGACTTTATAGGCTCTTGGTGCCAAGATGGCTCATATGAAAGCACTACTTGTGACGACGGAAGTTATATAATGAGGTAAGGGTGAACTGAAAGCTCTGCTTTTAGAGATTTTTGATCATGAAAGAATTCTACAATTTCCTTCATAGGATTTTATTTTCAGCTATCTATTGTTTCTTTCAAATTAACTTATTTTACTTAGAAATTGTTTTGATGCTCCTGATGGATCAGCCAGTTCATGTGACGAAGAAAATCATTGGTCTGATGAATTCTCTCAATTCTGCCAAACCGGCAATTCTTATGAAGATGGCTTGAGTTCTTACCACCATGATTGCACAGATTCTAACGGAGGAAGCAACAGTAAGTTATAATTCAAAGTTTATCAGTCATGCTAAATTCTTAGAAAATCTCTCATAATCTTTGAAAGTGGTTTTAAATCTAAATGTGCCGTTCTGCTTCTATGCAATTTTTAATTATTTGACTTATCAAGAGTCATTGGTGGACTCCAGATTTTTGTAGCTAAATTTCATATCTTTTTAGGCCACTCAGGAGAATGTCAAGATACTTATGGTGAGAACGGTGAACATCACTCTGAGTGCTTAAGAGCAAGCAGTGGTGAGCATATTGACCATGAAGGTAATGCTCATTATTGGGAAGAGAATTGCCACTCAGTATCTGAGAATTATGGAGAATCCTTTGAAGAACACTGCGAAGATCATGAAGGAGGATCTAGGTCATATACTTCTACTTATGATTATGAAAATCAGGTTAGTGAAACTGTCGAATGTAACCATCAAGAAGACTACGAATGCTGCAGGACTTGTACTAGCGGACTAGACTCTGAAGGAACTTGGTTCTCAGACTGTGAGGAAAGTGATGGTTGTAGTGCTGATCATCATGAAGATCCTCATGCTCGCTTTGAAGAGAACTTAGAAGAAGCCGTTAAGTTTGTTGAAGCTTGTGGATGTCCGACCACTGGAGCTGCTCATCCATTCCCTATTGATGAGAATGGAATGATTGATATTGAAGGAGGAGTAGCTCATTGTCCATCTGTATGATGGGTTTATGAAAGCTTGTTGATTCCACTCCAAGAACAAGGATTCCTCGAAACATTTGGATTCTAGATAAATGAACAGATAATCCAAAGTCAAAAGTGGAGCTCGTAAAAATACTGAGCTCATTGTGATAATTGGTCTAAAAATAACAAAAATATGTATATTATACTTTGAATTCTCCCTCCTTTCTTTAAAAGTAAAAAGAGTATATAAACTCCATGGATCTTGAAACTAAACCTTATTCAACCGTTCGCCATCCCAACGGGGTTTTGGGGTTTTGGGGTTTTGGGGTTTTGGGG